ATCCATATCCTCAGAGCCTTCCTATACCCCTCCCCGAGGAGGCCACGGGGTAGTGGGCCAACCAGGTAAGCCATAACTTTAGGGACAGCAAGGTACCAGGTAGACTGGGACTCCACCCTCTAACTCTTCTGCCTGGACTGCTCCCATCCCCACCCCCACCCCGGCCACTCTGAGGTGGCAATGCTATTAACGACCTTAATTTGCTGGGCTAGATTATATTTCCAAGAGCCCTTTCCCCAGGAGCCGCAGGCAGGAAGGAAGTCTGTAATTCAATCTCTTATCAGAGCTCCTCAGCAGAAAAGCGAAGCCACACCCCCTACACCCACAACCCCAGCCCTACCACCTGGATGGAAGCACAGCCTGGGTACCCCACAGGGCAATCTGTGATGCACACAGCCAAGCTAGCCAGTGAGGGCATCACAGGCCGGGCAGGCACAGTAACTAGTGAGAGATTATTCCTGGTCAAGCACGAGCAGCATCCTTGATCCGAACTAGGGTGAGAACAACGAGTCGCGAGTGCAATCTGTGCCCATGGACAAGTTTTATGCCACAGCCCCATATCCATGAGCACACTTGACAAGGAAGAAGACAAAGGGACAGCGAAGAAGGCAGAAGGCCAGGTTATCAGTCCCCTCTTTGTCAGAAGTCCAGGCAGGTAGGCTGAGACCTCTGCCATGGCCCTGACCCCCACGGAACCTACAAAATCCTCCCAGAGGCCCCATCTCTACCCACCACTCTCCTGCTTACTCATGCAAGAGCGAACGGGAAAGCAGGAAGATTTCTAAGAAAAAATAGGTCAGCTGCCTCAGGCAGACCAGGCCACACCCATGGGCAGTGCCCCTGGGGCAGAAGCCTGACTGCAAGCTGCTTCTGCAACCACAATCTTCTCCCAGCTCCCCAGGCATCCAGAGCTTTGTCTACGCTCGCCTGTGCCAGGCTGGTGGCAACTAATGCCTGTTAGCAAAAGAGGCAGCCAGCCTCCCCATAAGCCAAGTCTCTGCCCAACACTTAGGCTTTCTCTATTTGACCTCAAGAATTCTTTGCTCCTAGCCTTGGGCTGAAGGCTTCAACTCTAAGAATACCTGCCTTGCCTGGATGCAGGTGCAGAGTGATGAACAGGGAAGCAAGCAGTTTGCTGAGAAGTCTCCCTCCATCCCATAGTACTCACAAGAGGGGCTCCCACCTCAAACTTATTTGTAACTGCTCTTCCCCCAGTGTAATCCATAGACGTGCACACAAACATATGAGAGCCTGTAAGTGCATGTATACACATGTCTAACTAGGTGGGAACACCAGCTACAGAGGCATGCATGCATACAGGGAAATTTATGTGTGTGCATACATATAAAATATGCACATTCACACATGCATACAGAATACACATAACACATACTGAGGTGCGTGTATCTATGCACACATGCACATACATAGACATATGCACACTTCTAAAAAGAAGTCTAAAGTTCTTCCCAACCACAGCTCATTCAGACCCACTCCTTACACAAACTGCTCAACTCATCCCCGGAAGCAGAGGGAAGGGGGACACAACCTGGGGGGCCCCAGCTGAGAAGCCCACAGAAGGGAGCAGCTCTCGTGAAGAAGAGAATCAGTTAAATCTCACCGCTCATAGCGCCTTCCTAACTGGGCCTTACCTCCCACCCCCACATTTTCAGTGCAAACTGGGGGCTGCAGGGAGACCTAATGAGTACCTGGAAGAACTGAGAGAAAGCCAAAAAAGAAGCATACGTACTGACGAGCTCTAAGAGCCAGGGCTGCCGTGCTGGCAAGAGGGCAGGGAGGAGACCTGGCACTGGAAAGTGCAGGGCACAGTGAAGAAGCAAGAGCTACCAGCTCTCAGCATCTCCTACCTAGGCAATCTTTGCTCCGTGAGAAACCAGACCCCAGCTTTCTGTCTTAGAGATACAAACATGAAACCATCTGAACCCGGGACCTGACAACTCCAGAGACTGGTATGTATGCCAGGCCACAGACCCACAGGTCCCAGCTGACTCCTTCCAGTGGCCAGCATCATGCCTCCTCCCACTCCAGTTTCTTCCAGGGAACCTCCTACCAGACACCCCCTCCCCCTGCCGCCTCCATATGTCCTGAGACTCTGACACCAGGGCTCACTACCCACTTCCTGAGCCCAGTCCTCAGCTGATCAGCTGGCCAAGGGTTTAGAAACACTCCTTCCCATCTCCATCAACAAAGAGAAGCTGGGTGGGTCAAAGCCAGATAGAGGGCACTATCTATTAGTCAGACACTAATTTACCTGGGCACCTAGGAGCCAGGGAGTTCACCAACAGACTCTGGCAGACAGGGAGGGAGCACTGGGAAAAAGGAACAGACTTCCCTCCATATAGGAGGTAGAAAATACTAGCTCAGGATTTCCACAAAGTGTGGAAACTACCCCAGGTCGAAGGGCAGATGTCTGTATGCAGAGACCACGTCAACAGCCTTCCTCTTTTCTTGACCCTCCTAACCTGAACATCGATCTTCGTTACTTCCAAAATGCCTGACCAGAATCAAAAGGAGGACTCCATGCCCACCTCTCTCCCAGACTTCCAAGTTGACCGTCCCAACCTGGCAGTTTGAGGGACCTGACCCTTTTCACCTAGAGCATCCCCTGCTTCAGACAGTTCTAGAAGAAGCATCTCACAGTCCCTGGGGTTGGAGGATTTCTCCAGAAGTCACCTCTGTCACTCAACAGAACAACTTCACCGCTTAACTTCTCTCACTCGCACTCCAGCCCCGGTCTCTCGGGCAAGCAGGTGCCCCTCCCCCTCTGTAGGCTGGGCTCTGCATCCTTCCTGTAGCATCTGGCAGCCAGCAATCCTTCAGCTTTGCAGACCTTGTAAAGGACTTCCAAGCAATTGTACATGCCCCACCCACACTCCAGAGGTTCTACCAGACAAGGTCAGCCCACGATATAGGGTCTAGCCTCCTCAAAGGCAGACTTTTGGGTGTCCCTAAACACACTCCTAACTCCCAGCTCCCTGAATAACCCAAAAGAAAGAAACTGATTAGGAGCCAGGAATTGTACAGATACTGAAATACTGACGATGAGGTTTGGTGAGCACATACTTCCCAACAGGCAGTCAGCCACTTCCTCACAATACGGTTCCCACACACCCCAAATCTCTACAAGTCCATACAGCTAACCCATTTTCTATTGAAGTAAGTGACATTTAGAAAAGCTGAGAAATTTGTCCAAGGTCACAGGGTCAGCAAGTGGGCCAGTCAGGCTTTGGATCCTGTCAATTTATCGTTAAACCTTTGTCTGTGTCTGCCTCATGGAGCCATTTTAGATTTAAAAGACCCCAAGACCAATCGGGTCATCCTTGCTCCTAGACAGAAGTAGGGTTCCAGACAGAAGGGATAATAACCTTCATGTCCAGCAACCTTCAACATTGGAAAGTTCCTCCTTCTGTCTAACCACTCGGCGAATCTCTGCAATTTCCTTTTTCTGTTTCAGTTTACCATGCCTATACCCTCTCTGAGGTTGAAAGGCTAGTTAAGAGCCTTCCTTCAGTGTCTCTTCGATTCTGATCCTGGCACAGCCTTTTGTGCTTTCAGAGACAGTCCCACAGCAGAGCATACCAAAACCTAGAGGGGAGGAGGAGGAGGTCACTAAAAGACTGCGTGGAAAGGGGGGGGGAGGGGAGAGGCACAGCAAGATCCACCCTTTTTCCATAGGCTTCTGAGGTCATCCTGTCTCAGTTTTCCCACCTGGCAAATGGAAAGCTTTATAATCATCCCGACCATCACAATGTTTTGAAGGAAAGCCGCCCTTTCCTTCATCCTCTCCTCTTCAGAGTCCCCCGTCAAGCAGCAGAGGAGACGCATTCCAATTCGGAAACTTTCTCAAACCACTCCCCCCACACGCCCCTAGGCAAGGTGAAAAAAAAAAAAAAAAGCCGGCGGAGCCCGCACCTCCAGCAGAGCCCTTTCAAAAGGTTCCCTGGTCTTCAGGTCCTCCCTCGCCACCCTGCCGGCTACCCTGCCACCTTCCACCCACAGACTGTTCCTCTCTCGCCGCCATCTCCTCCCTGCTTTGCAAACTTGCCCACAGCGGGATCCGTTCGGCGCGCAGAAACCTTGAGCTCAGAGTCCTGGCAGTTGCCAGGCTCGGCTCTGACTTCCATACAAGGGACGAGAGCCGGGTGCCACCCAGAGCTCTGCCATCTCCAAAGGGAAAACCCTCACGCTCAAGCATGAACCCTGCGCCCTGTCTTCTCCCTCGCTTCTTCTTGGGCTCAGATCCGAGAAGGCAGAAAGAAAAATTCCGCTCGACTCTAAGATGCAGCGGAGCAGACCCCTCCCTCGCGGCCCTCGCCCCCAGGCCGCTGGGCCTGGCAGCCCGGAGCGTGGCGCGGTGACGGCTCCTCCCCGGGAACTTTTGCCTGGCCGGGGCCCAGGTGCGGCTAAAGTGGGCGCGGGCGGCCGCCAGGGCCAGGAAAAGCAGATGCTGCTCGGAGCCGCTAGGTCAATTCTGCTTGTCACCTGCCAATGGGATCGGAGTTCCGCCACCAAGATAGACGAAAAGGAAAGACGCGGGGCGGAGAACCGGGTCCCTTGGAGGCTGCTGTGGGGAGTCCCAAGATCTTGGTCGCGCCTCCCAGCAAGGGCTCTTCCATCCAGCGGTGCGTGCAGGCTGGGACGCGCGGAATCCTGCCGGAAGACCGGCAAAGTCTCCAGCAGCCAGAGTTAGAACACCAGGGGTTCCCAAAAGCTCAGGTTCGATGTGCGGCTGTGGACCATCGGGCCCAAGGTGGGCCAAGTACACTTCGCTTCCAAGACGTTCGTCCCCACAACCCATAGGCTTCCGCACCTTCCCGCCGAGTTCCTCCCTCCCGCAGCTCCCCAGCCCTCGAGCCAGTAGCCCGAGGTGCGCCTGGACGGAGCCGGAGCCTCGCTCCCAGGGTTCGAAAGCCAGATCCCAGAGGGAAGGTCTAAGAAAACCAGAAGGGTTGGAGGAGGGACGCTGCACTTCAACTCACCTTGAGCCGCAAGACCTCGGGTGCTGATCACACTTGCTATCAAAGTGGCCACATACCAAATCATAGTACTACCGCGCGCCAGCCAAGAGCCTCATCCTATCGCAAAGTGCTCCTGCGTTTGCACACTTATCGTGCCCCAGCGCCCTTTTCTCGCCCGCCTACGCCCCTTGCCGGTGCTCCTGTAGCCCGGGCGGCCCGCTCTCCATCCCTCCCTAGCTCGGCTCGGCTCGGCGCGCAGCCTCCCGGGCCCCGGCGCAGCGGCACCTGCACTGCCAACGGAGGCAGAGCGCAGCCAGGTCCACGGTGAAGCCTAGCCGGGCCTGGCCTAGTGGCCCGCCCCTGCCACCTGCCTATTGGACATTGCCCACAGATCTAGTGACTGATTGGCTTAACTCTTTGTCCGTCGCTGCGCGAAGGAGGCGAGCCCATTTCAAGGTGCGTTGAAGTGTAGCGAGCAAAGAGCCGCAGAATCATGCGCATTGCCTGGGAAAAAGGCGTTGTAGCATCTTTGCTCTATTCTGTTCTAAGCTCAGACTGCATGGCAAGTTTCTGATGAAATAAATGTTAGCTTCTCGTACTGGCTAATGGGACCCTAGGAGTCTCAATAACCCTTGACAGGTCCGAGGGGGATGGAGCCCCCGCCCACCTTGAGAATCTAACATCCGGTTTCTATCAAGAAAAAAAATCAGTTCCCGGGAGGATCATCCTGATACAGGGATGGGGAAACCCAAGCAACCTGGGGAAACGAGGGAACGTCCTTTGCTGGAGATCGGTTCAAAGGGATCACGTGATGCCTCCCGACACCCCCCCCCCCACACACACACCCTTGCACACTCTTCTCTCAGAGCACACTGTCTCCATCATACATGATATTAAGTTAGGCTCCATCCAGCCCAAAGGCAGGAGGATGACTAAAATGACCTCTAAAAGTCGCTAAATTTGGAATGAGTCATTGGCTCTGCTATGGAATCACAGACCCCCTGAAACACATGTGCACACGTACTGCCGCCCCCACGGCTGGTCATCGTTGCTCATGATCACTAAGTCCCAACTCTGAGCAATTAAACTTTTTCCTCCTCCTTCTAAATAAATGCTGCTTCTCCTGCATACGAATGCTGCTTCCCCTTCTATCTTACTCAGAGCCCAGCCCCATTTTAGCAGCATAAAGTCAAGGTGGGGTTGGTGAGAGATTAGGGGGTGGGGTGGAGAACCAAGGCAAAGGGAAAGGTTCTTCTCACTCCTGCAGAAGATAGATAAGGAAGCTGAAAGAGCTTCCTATATCCCGGGGCTCCCGACTCCAGCATCTCTTCATCTCCTCCCTCAGTACCATTGTATTTATACAAGGAGTAAGTGAGTGTCATGGAGACGGCTACAATCATCTCACAACAGCATTCTGATGCTGCGGGGAAGATGTTTATTCTTTTGAGGACTGTAAGCAGAGGGGAGAGCCACTGCTCCCTAGGAGGGGCTGTTGGCCAGGGAAGGAAATGAAGAAGAGCTCTCAAAAATCAAAGAGCCCTGCTCTAAGGTATGAAGCTCTACTACACAGAACAACAAATGGACTTGTTGCTGCTGGAAAAGCCACCTGTACACATGGACTCATGCCTCTCAGAAGTGGTCATGAATGGTGAAAGGCCCGCCTAGTCAGAGAGCTGCACTCTCATTGCTGCCCAGGGGATGAGCAGCTGGGGATCCTGTAGCAAGCGCACTGATAAACATTTATTATCTGCGTATAATCTGGAGAGTTGACCTTCTGAACACCTCCTGCTTGCCCACTCACTCTGTTCACGCAAACACACTCATGCTGCATCGCTGTAAGAATATATTTCCATGGGCCTCCACTTTAGGTTCTCTTCCTTGGCCAAGATGCCTTTCCTGGGGCTTTGATGAAAGCTGCAAGCTCCAGATCATATTGATGCATTAATTCTCAAGCAACATGCCACAGAATAACAATTCTACCTCCAACACATGCATATACACATGCACCCATAAACATGTTTGCATGCAATCACATAAACCCATACATACTTTCTCTGGGTCTGAGATCTCTCATCACTTTCTGGAATAGATTTGTATAATGGATGATGTGGCTAGGATATGGCTTAATTGTGACCTCACAAAGGTTCACGTTAGAAATTTGATCCCCAAGATGGCAGTACTGGAAGAATGAAACCTTTAAGAGGTAAATCCTAGAGACGGGAGAGATGGCTCAGCAGTTAAGAACATGAACTACCCTTGCAGAGGGCTTGAATTTTGTTCCCAACATCCTTACCAGGTGGCTCACCACTGCCTGTAACTCCAGCTCCAGAGGACCTAACACCCTTTTGTAGACAGTGCATTCATGTACACAAACTCACAGAGAGGCACACATATACACATAATTTAAAATAAATAAGGAGGTGAGTTATACAGAAAAGTCCTTAAGTCATTGGGAGGCAAGCTATTGCAAGGTAATGCTTCTGGGATCCCCTTGGTATTCTCATAAGAAGGTTATCATCAGCAGAGCTGGACATGGTGGCTCATGTCAATAATCCTAGCATTTGGAAGGTCAGGAATGTAAGATCATTCTCAGCTACATGGAAAATTTAAGGTCACCATGAACTACAAGAGACCCTATCTCAAAAAAGAAAAGAAAAGAAAAGAAAGAAAGAAAGAAGGAAGGAAGGAAGGAAGGAAGGAAGAAAGAAAGAAAGAAAGAAAGAAAGAAAGAAAGAAAGAAAGAACGATCAAAAGGGGGAGGGCTGCTATAAAGGGAGAAAGACTGGCCCCCCTCCCTCTCTCTACCTGCTACCTGGTTTGAAATCCAGCCAGTTGGCAGGACACGCTAATGCTATTGCCATCCGCCATCTATTTTGAGGCCTTCATCAGAAATAAAAGAATGCAGATACCACACGCATGAACTGTGTACTAAGTAAATCCTTTTTACTTCATGGAGTCCACTTTCTTGAATAGTTAATAATGTCAACAAAAAAAAAATAACTGGGTAATACAGCTGATGACCACAAGATTCTTCCCTTCTCATAGGCTCTGGGTAGCCTTTTGATGCCTACGGAGTGATGTCCTATGTCTTCTGAGACTGGGGTCTAGGCAATGTTGAGTCCCTAGGCTAGCCCATGTCCTTGAATCCTTGAGGTGGAAGAGATATTCCCACTTAACATCTACAGACCACTACTCTGAGAAACTTCCTTCTGCAGTCCCAAAGCTGAGGAAAGGATGGAGCAACTCCCACAATCCATTCCCACCGTACTTGCTCGGCTGCCCTGTTTGTCCTTGGTAAGAAGGTGATTTCTGCTAGGAAGTTAAAACTGTACATCCGATCAGAAAGGGAAAAAAAGAATATCTGAACTTTAAAGAATAAACTGAACAGGGGAGATGTTCAAAGGAAGCTATCTAAAGAGAACACATTTCATCTGGAGAACTCGACCGGAACTAGAATAGAACACAAGAGTGAAGGCAGAGAGGAAAGGGAAGAAAACTGAATTGAAAAGGGAAAGATTAGCATGCTGACAAGTATAGTACAACACGTGTCGGTTCATTCCAGATCAGCTCAAGAGAGGCGTGTTGTAGCAACCGGCAGAGAGGAACGAGGCCAGTCAGATCTTCTCCTCTTGACATATGGCTGAGCATTGGATTCAGGAAGATGGCAATCCCTGCCTCTCTAGCAGAGAGGCCAAGCTGGATACTCAAGAGCGGCGTCAACCTCAGCTTCCAATCAACACATGACTTGGGGACACAAGCCAATCCCCGTGAATAGTTGTCCCTGGTTCATTGTGCTATGCTCACTGGGTATGAGAATGTCTGTCATCTAATTTCACCTCATGGAAAAGTTCACTTTTGAAAATATGTAATTCTGCTCTGACCAGCTATTCCAAGGAAAACACACTAGCTACCCACTCTTACATGCCCCCAGTCCCCCAGAGGACATACAAAAAAGCAACCAGTGGCAGCCTAGGTTCCCTCTTTACACCTATGAGCAATCACGCTAAAAGCAGCAGTTTGTGTTTATCATCTTTGGAGCTCTTTGAGGGCTCCCAAAATTCCAAAGTAGAATTTGGGGCAGGACAGTGGTTAAGGCAGCTCCTTAGAAGGAAGAGGAGATGATATAAACCAAAGGAATTTACGCAAAACAAATTCGAAATGTTTGCTGTTTATACGATTTGAGAACTGTATTAGTTATCTCATCATATAAAAACCCATCCCAGAATGACGCAGTGGCTTAAAACAACAAGAGTCACTGATTTGAGCAAAGCTTGGTGGGAACACCAAATATGAGGTCCAGTGGAACTCTCAAGATGGCCCACACACCTGTCTGTTAGCTGGTTGTTAGGCAGACCTGTTGGTGAAAGTTCATGTCTCATCCTCACGCTGACTTCTCTATAAGAAGCCTGGGCTTCTTCACAGCTTGGTGGCTCAGTTCCAAGAGCCAGTGTCCCAGCAGAACCAAGTAGAAATATCTCATCCTGGAAAGCACAGCCTCATGCCTGGAGATGTGGGCTACCTCTGCCGTTCCATGAGGTGAGGTCTGCGCCACAATCTGCGTTGAGCTTGTGGGATGGAGGGAGCGTTGCAGCCATTTTTGGAATGGTGCAGTTTGCTGTGAAAACAGTCTTCAAAATAAAAGCAAAGAGTGGATTCTAGAAGAAATCTCGGGGAAAAAATGATATTATGGAAATTGCCTCATGCAATTATGGAAGCTGAGAAGTCTAACAATATGCTGTCTAAAAGCTGGAGAACCAGAGAGGCTGATAGTGGGATTCAGTGTGAGTCCAAAAGCCCAAAAGCAGGTGTGGGTTATGGGACCTGAAGACCTGACAGCTTAGAATCTCAGGGTCTGAAGGGCAGGAGGGGGGTGTCCAGCTCGAGAAGAAAGCAATTCACCCTTTTGCTTCTGTCTTGATCTCAACAGATCAAGTGATGCCCACTCACAACGGCAGGCAAACGCTCACTCAGTCTTATGCTCCAGTGCTAACTTCTTCAGGACATACCTTCATAGCACACTGCAAAGTGATCTTCTACCCATCATCAGGGTACCCTTTATTCCAATAGAGCTGACACCTAAAGTTACCCATCACAAAAGGGTTTGGCATTCAGTATCTGGGTCTAAGATTGTTCTCATTTAAATTCAAGCTGCTACCTCCTTAGGTCCAGGGATGTACCCTTGACACTTTCAAAAGACTAGTTAAATTGAGAAGCTAATACAATAAACAAGTATTACCTTGTTTTCTCTAAATACAACAT